ACGAAAACATGGCGTTGAGGAGTTTTATACAAGCAAGTAAGCCCAAGAGTGGGCATCAAAACGATCCTATACAAGATATTATGCTCTGTCGTTTAGAAAAATTATTATGTGCATACGAAATAGTACGTGCCATGTCCATATATACAATTGTTACATCAAAACTTTAAATGTTGAACCAATATATTGGATTACTTACTGCACATTCATTATGATATGAATGTGAACTAGATAGTACTATGCTGGCATGGGACGCACGCAATGTATCGATTACACATTTATCTCTTTTTTTAATATACTTTTCTTTTTTTTCTGTGGTGGAGGTAACTTTATGTTCTCTAATATTGATATATATTTTATTAATATGTGAAATTCAAATTTAAGATAACGTTCAACATTGAAAAGAGAAATGCCACGAATCGATTCAGAGTCAGTTTTTGTTTTAGTACAAGTGATAGTCTAAATTATAGGGGAGGGGTTTCTCACACACACAACCAATATGTTATGGGGGTTCGAATATAAGACATCTTGTCTTCAAGTCAATGCCCTTTTTACTGGACTAGACCTGTTTAGTAATATCAGAAAGGGTTTTTATGTTTAATAGTCCTTGAACTTTGACATGATTCGCATTTTGGTCCCTTAATTTCTAAAATCGTTCCCGTCAAAGTGCGAATCAAGTCAAAATTCAAGTACCATTAGATCTAAAAACCCTATCACAAATCAACCCTAATACCTTTTTTTTTGGCAACCCTAATACTAATAGTATTGCTTGCGTTTTCTATGACACACATGTACAATTTAGAATCATATCTAGAGTGCGAACAGAACATGTAGATTCAAAAGATAATAAAGCCAAGCTTGCCCCTCTTTCTATGTGGAGAAAAAACGAATGTTGTTGCTAAATCAGTAACGCTAAGTCAAATCTGCTCATTTCTATCTCCAAACTGAACTTAAATTAATGTGATTGTGGAATCAAACAGCTACTCTTTGTTAGTAAATTTTGACCTTTTGAGCATATATAGAGATGGACCAGTCAACTTGTCCCATAGATTATCTTTGATGCTTCGTGTCAAGACATAATTAATAATATAAAACTGTCATTGTCTTTCTCTTTCATCTCCTCTGTAAAAAATAATATTTAATTCTTTGGTGGAGCAGATGCTACCATGACTGCTTGAACAATTCAGAAAGAAAAAAAAAAAAAAAACAAAGAGATCTTTATGAAGAAAAAAAATATTAGGGTTGAATAGATTCCCTTTCAATCTAAACGCTTTAGTGGTTGGGTGCAGTCAAGTGTGCTTCTGACTTAATTGAGGAAGAACCTTCCTTTCACATTTGAACCTTCTCCTTTGAAAAAAAAACCCCATGAATTTGAATGTCAATCTTAAATTAAACAAAACAAAGTTGTATTTTTTAATCCTTAAAGAATCAAAAATCATTTCGATTTGTTTTTATGGAAATGATTCGTTTTCCTCTTTCCTCTTTCCTCTTTGTTAGCAAGGGATACATGTGTATTTATATAAGCGATAATTTATTTTAAACTAATC